CTGCGTTCAGAGGAATATGCGTACTCTGTCTGAACAACTGATCCGTCCGGCAGTTTGCTTCAATGTCATTATGTCCCGAAACCTATATAAGGTGTACCCTAAACCAGTAAAAATATTATTTAGAATCACAAGGCAATTGTGCACAATCTTTGATCTTATTGCCACCGAGTTTGTTGATTTGTATATTTATATGTAATTTCTCAAATATTTCGCTATGCGAGAGTGCATTCATTATAATTTTAGTTACCGTACGTTCCGTATACCGTACCTGTAGTATTCAGGTACGACAAATGGACATTCGTAAACTTTTCAAGAAGACTTCAAAGCTAAATTTTCCATTAAAATTGAAGACGTCTGAAATTCAATTCTCATCTTCTCCATGACATGAGTGTATTCCACTCATTTCTCAAATAAAATGCCTTACGGAGTTAAGTTTTGGAACAGAGTGGTTAATCTATTATATACAGCTATTCCAATTATGCAATAGCCGAGTAACCTGCTAGTTGGTGATTGCACAGCGTTCTATATTTCAATCTCAAAGCGGAAGCCCCAACCACTTGTTTTCCAGTTAGGTTGAGAGCACATTCAGAGCTTTATTTGAAGTACAGAAAAGCATTTGAACGCTACTTATAAGTTTCAAATATCTTCCTTCTTCTTCTTTGTTTGATAATATGCGAAGTAGTGTCTAAAGCACTTTTTCTCAGTATTGTATGTGACCATTTAGATAAACCACTGTAATAAGAGCTCCAGATTCAGATAAATTTTTAGACGTTTATGAATACGTTAGCTTCTATATAAGCTATATATATATTCCATACAACTATAGAAGTGTAGATCGAGTACATAATTTGTCAATTTAATCTTCACCTCATACTAATTGTTTTTTTGTGCAAGTATACAAAGTAAGTTTATCACTTAGTCCTTAATATTGACTTTCCAGATAAGTTTCTTGTCTAATATGAGTACCAGATATTTAACGCTCTCTTTCATTGAAATTTTCATCATAGCGGGCAGTCTGTTTTTCCTTCAAAAAAGAATTGATTTATTTTTTTCGAGGTTTATTCCTAAACCCGCTTTTCTGTCTATCTTATAAGCGTGATCACGTTAGATAGTGGAATATCCAAAACTTATTACTACCTACGTCTTCAAATTTTGCATATGAATTATGGAATGTAATTTAAAATATAATTAATTTATTTCCATTCTTATTTTTGAGACCGTGTGCTACATTGGCCGATCAATTTTTTTCTCGCGAATTCTTTATCATTCTATTAAATATATGAAAAGTCAATAAATAGATGTTAAAACTTTCTATAAAATGGTGGCAGGATGAGTTTAGAACTTAGAACGTGTATTGTGTGTTGAGATTAGTTAACCGGTTCTCCCATTTCTTTGAAATTTTGTTTATATTTTAAATTTCTAAAACAAGTAATCAATAATTTTTTGATTTTATAATCATTTTAATTATATTCATTGAATTTATGAAAAATTTCAATCATGTACAATTTGCGGTTTCTTCCTCCATTTGATGTTAGTTAAATTACAATTCAAGGAATCAACTCTAGAAATTTTTGGTACTCACTATAAATTTACAGTAAACCCTTTTCTATAATTTGTAAATCGACGAAAGAGGCTAACGAAACTGCAATCAAAATGAGTAACCTTCGCGTTATTGTACAATTAAACGATATTGATGCACCGGATCATTTTGAGCTGAACAGAAAAAATCGATTGGATCGCGAAACTGAGAACAAGAAGTACATTAACACTAATTTGCAGTTAATCGATGATCACACTTTACTCGTCACATCAAACGCGCCATCAGTAAATGCGGATTCTCAATCAAAAATCTTACGGCATTTACATTTCAGCTTTCTCGGATTCGCTTCAGAAGTGCGTACAGTTGAACAGATTCACGAATTGTTGGATCAACTTCTGTTAAAGCGCAAAAATTCCTGTCTTATACGATTCAATGCATTACGCGAATGTCAAATACGTTTCCTCAGCAATTTTCTGTGTAAGGAAGTACAGAAACGTTTAAAAAAAACGAAAACTACTGTGGACCATATCAAGTTGGAATACTATAATCTACATAAATATAACTTAGTGAATGTAATGTCAACTATGAGTAGTGGAAGAAAAGAATCTATTAGTCCCGCAGGCTTACTATTTCACAATTTTTCGCAACTGCAGAAATGGTTACGAACAGATTACACCAATCTCTTTTCGTTCGGCACTGGGCATGAATGTTTTGATTTTCAATTTAGTTTGACCGATACCCACGAGAGAAAGTTTCGTTTAAATTTCTCACTTATACATTATTATCTTTGCATAATAGATGGAGACACAAAAGCGGACATGAAGAATGTGCTGGAGAATTCAACATCCAGAGCTGCTGTGAATAATACCATGATTGTGAAATGTCTTCGTGAGTATTTGGTACTAGCAAAGAAGTCATGGCAAGTGGATTTACTCTTCGATATACCAATCATTGATAGTGATAGTGGTAATATTATCACTGAAGATATATTACAAGTAGCGTGTGCCGCAGAAACAGGTCTTAAAGTTTCAGTATCTGATTCGAAGGTATGTCTAGTTAGTCATAAACTTTTTCTAATTAAATGAGATTTTAGGTTTAATTAAGTAGAAGAGTGAAAACAACCTGTGAGTGCGTTTCGCTGCCCTAAAGCTTTTGTTATGGGATATTACTACTCCTAACGATTCAGAATTTTATGTTGCATTTCCATATTACTTTAACCATGTTTGTTCTTTAACAATTTTGCAAAGTTTCCGATATCCGTTTCTATTGAATTCTAATGTCCCCCAACAGAACTGTAGTCAGATCCGTTTCGTTTTCCTAAATTTAATCTTATGTATAAAATAGTACCTATTCAACTATATTATTGCTGGATATATTTTAATAATATATATTAATTTTTTATTTTATTTCTAAAGTACAAATTGGAAAGCTCAAGGTCGGGTATTATGACTGATCCATCAACTTCAAGAGTTACGGCTAAAAGGAGTCAATATATAAGCACTTCCCAAATTGGTTTGCGTAAAAGTCCGAGCATTCCTTTGGCTAGACAAAAAGCTTGCGTCCTCTCAACTGCTGATTTAAACAATATAAGTTTTTGGCATTGCAAAATTGATGAAAAATTCTCAAATGTACTGTATGCGAGGGAAAGTTATTACAACTATAAATTCGAAACTAAAGTTGGAAAAATGTGCACTGACATCAAGCAAATGGTACACAAAAGTAGTTTCGTTGTGAACTCATCATCGAAAGAACGCATTTTCGCAGATGAATTGGATAAGTTAAAGAAAAAATATCAGCTTGCCTTATCCTCTTTTGAGACCCTTCTGTTAGATGTGGAGAAATCAGAATATTCCAAAGAATTGAGTATTTATTACCAGATGAAAAAGTATGAGTTGATACAACATTCACTGCGGTTTAAAGTAAGACAGTTAGAGCAGTGCCAAAATCGTCTCTCATCCACAATTGACGATGAGATGAGTTTGCTGCAAAATATGAAAAAAGTTAGCTCTGACGTATCGAATGCAAACTCAAAACATGTATAAAGTGTGTGAAAATTTATAAAATAATATTAAATTTATTTATGACTCGATTTTGTATGGTTCAAAACAAACTTAATATATATAATAAATTTAAAATAATACAAGGTTTCAACAAAAACCTTTTGGGTGTTATTAATGTTATCAACGAGTTTCTGAGATATTCATTGACTTTGATATTTGAAACTATGGAAATGTAAAATTATGGGGTTCTATCAGACTTAATAAAAACAAATTGTACATGAACGGTTTATGTTCGAATCATTTACTTTTATAAACTAATATTAATAAGAGTTTAGTAACAATAAATATATTTTAATTAAATTAGAAAAAAAAAAGTTGATTTGAAATAGACTTTTTTGTACAATATTAAAAGAAATTAATGCTACAGCATTACAGAGTAGTTTATTTGGTTCCATACCTTCTTTATACAGCAGATTATTTGTCTGCTGTATTCTTTACTCAATTCCACTCCACTCCCCCTTACTCCACGCGAAAACCACGACATGATAGCTACATTTGTTGAGGACAAAAGTTTATATCTACACATATCAATATTGATAACCCAATAATAATCACTGTCACAAAAAATGGGGTAACAGAATGATTTGTAAAATGGAACATATCTATAAACGCGGAAAAAACAATACAAGTCATCTGAATGTATACAGAAAAAACCAAAAAAATTAACATTAAACTAATTCAAGCTAAATTGACTTGAAAGCTAAACATCTTAGAATGATATGTAACGAATAGTTCGGAAAACTCAACTTGATAGATCATAAAGTGCATCGAACATTTGGATAATTATACTAGTTGCTTGGTGTAAAGTACTCTTGAGATATAGAGTACCGATAGCAAGTCTAACATTCAAATAATACAGAGGTTACAATCTAAAATAATGAGAACATATTGGACATATCGAACAACGACCTACATAAAGACTTACATGTAGATCAAATTACAGTAGTATTACTTACAAGGCAGTAGAGAGTATTCTAGATGTTTATTTTCTCACACAACCAATAAAATTGACCAATTATTTACCAATCAGAGAAAGAGCACTCCGAAGTAGATTTTAAGCAGGTAGAATATAGAACAGATAAATAAGGAACTAAAAATAATAATGACGCCTATACCTATATGGTCATTTATAAAGAAATATTAGCATTCATGCGGATTACTAGTCACTATAATTGGTCACGGAACTAATGTTCTCTAAACATTTCTCTATAATATTATGAACTGAACTATTTGTCCACTCCATTTCACTATAAAATATAAGCAAACTGAATAATTTCAGTAGCGAAATGTTCGCTTGGTGAACAAAATTTTCAAGACCTAAAAAACTTAACTCGTGACAGTTGCTTACTGCAGCAGTTGTAGGAACAACTTAAGGCCTTATGTTTTAATTATAAAAAAAAAAACTATTATTTGTGGTGTTTTTTTAATATATTATATATCATTTATATGGTAAATCAGTTTGAGTTTTTAATGCATTATTGTAAATAATATAAACATATACATATATGAATTATATAAACATATTTCAGTAACTTATCTGTATACATAATTATATTATATTATTGTCAACAATTTTCCCATATACAATATATAATTCTGCGTAAATATTTTATTAAAAGCATACAAGAGCTTTTACATTAATTTAATATATAATTAAATATATTTTTTGATTTATAATTAATCATTTTTACGAACAATTTAATTTAATTTAAAAGCAATGCAATATATATATAACATTGTCATTTTCGACTATATATAATAATTAAAATCAAACTAACTTTTTTATAAATAATTGATTTGTTGAATTATACGAATTTTGGGGGGAATGAACCACAAACACTTATATAAGTTTCACTATTTAGGATATGTGTTTTTTTTTGTTTTTGTACAAAAATCATGTTGAAACATTAGAATATTATATGCTTTTTTAATGTTTGTGTAAATTTAAAATTTTTTTTTTAATAAATATATATTATCCTAAATAATAATTATAGCAATATAAATGAGAATTGTTCCAGAGATGTTTTAAAAAACATATATAATGCAATTATTTTAACAATTCTAAAACATTAAAGAACAGTCCTCGTTTCATAGAAGTACTTTCTAATAAATATATATTATCCTAAATAATAATATATAACAATATAAATGAGAATTGTTCCAGAGATGTTTTAAAAAACATATATAATGCAATTACTTCAACAATTGTAAAAAATTAAAGAACAGTCCTCATTCCATAGAAGTACTTTTTACCGATTTTGTTGTACAATTTTTTTTTTACTTTAAATTCTAAGGGGTTTACTAAATTTTTAAGGAGGAAACCTTAACGTTGGGAGGATATTGGGTGTATGCATATATTGTGATAATGTTGGCTGTAGTTTTGTTTGGTTTACTTGACATTTTTAATCTCTTCTGTTTTATAGTCTATACGAAGGTAATTCTAAGTTGAACTTAGTTAATGTCTTGACTAAGGTAGAAATTATAGTCTTTAGCTTCAAAACATTTCTACCAAGATAAATAATGGTCAAATTCTTTAAGCTTCTTAAGCTTTCTAATTTTATTTTCTCGTTTTATGGTGACTTGATTCATTGCTAAACGGCAGTTAGTATAGAAAATACTATAATTCTTAAAATAAACATATAATTATTATATTTTATTAAACAATAGATATAATTTATAAAAAGTATAACTTAGTATATATATGTGTGTGTATATATATATAATTTTATAATTTTAAATATATTTGGTTTATAATATACATATATAATTTTAAAACATTTAATTAAGTATACATTACATACATATATTTTATATTAATTGAAAACATTACTATCTTATTAACAAGCTAAAAAGTCTATTAGTGTACTTTTATTAAATTCTTTAATTATACATAAATGTATAATATATATCATGGACTTTGTTCTAGTAGCAGACCTTTTCGACATTTTCAGGCAAGTATGTAACACAAAATTATATTTGTTTTTTTCTTAACCTTATTTTAATTAATTATTTTTATTATATTAGATAAAATTTTTTTATAACTTTGTTATTTTATAACTTATTAAAGAGTTAATAACAATTACAAAATAATAAGTAAAATAATTAAAAACATTTTTTGTGTTAATGGAATTATTTCGGGTATATATAGGTGTCTTTCATTACAGACTAGTAGCCCGAAATTTAATTCGGAAAGGGTATTCTCTTTGGGTATTCATGTAAGTACATATTAGATATATGTTGAAGAAATATTTCAAGATTTGAAGAATAATGACTGTTGTCATTTATAGCGCTATCTTAAGGAAGATATAAGAATCTAAATGAATTGAAATACTAACACAGGAACTTATTATACTTAGTTCGGGTATTAAAAAGTGTATACAATGCGATTTAATAAGCTAAACTCATTTCAAAGTTCATAACAAATTACACCATAATTCATTATTTTTTGTGAATTGCAGTCTGAGCCCATATGCCTTTGTGCATTTTATGTGTATATTTTGCACATAGAAGAATTTTATACTCTCTCACTTAACACTTAAAGAACTCTGTGTTTTATTCAAAACTGTGTTAAAAAAGTTTTTTATTAGGGAGAGATGTGGAGATAGAGTGAGAGAGAGAGGAAGAGAGAGAGAGAGAGAGAGAAAGAAAGAAAGAAAGAAAGAAAGAAAGAAAGAAAGAAAGAAAGAAAGAAAGAAAGAAAGAGAGAAGAAACGAGAGGAAGAGATAGAAAAAGAAAGAGAGTCAGAGCGAAAGACATCGAATAACAGCTTTACTAATACACCACTGACCTCTCATCCTAAGGGTCATGCTATGAAGAGTGTCAGGGGCGTGGCAAAATTGGCTCTTTCGAGCTATAGTTTTTGATACTTTTTGGTTGTGTCTAAATTTTAATGGAAATGTAGACATGCTTAATGTTTATTTATTATTATATTTTCTTATAATAATTACTAACAGTACGCGCAAAATTATACGCCTTTCTTTAAAAAACGTTAGACAACACTGCTTTGCCTAAGTGATGAGATACAGATAGGCTCGGCTCTCATGACGGAATTTGAACCGACATATTGTTTTTTCTCTCACTCTCAATATTATAATTTGCATTGAATACAACAACAATTTTGCCCATGCCGTGCCCGTGAACGAATTAACAAATATATAAGAATTCGAAATAAATAAACTAAGACGTGGACGATATACTTCCATGTATGTTTTTAAATTTATTCATATCTAATGAGATATGATAATAAGTAGGACTGTGTGTTTTTTTTTTTTTGATTCGTTGTCATAATATTTTACAAATATGGGTATATTATATATTATTATTAATATACAAATAAACTTATTTATTTTATTATGCAATATTTAGAGAGAGCTAACAATTAAATTTTAATAAATTTAGTTTCAGATCTTTTCTGATCATTACCATTAACGAGTGTTATGCAGAGAGTCAAATCACAACTGTCAATTTCGTACTGTTACTTTTATTTTGATTCTATTTGGTTGTATCGGAATTTATAACGTAATATTTTTTGTGGGGATTTGTGAGCATACATATATCGCGGAAGATACAAATTATGAAATTTATTACAATAAAAGCCTCGTCACTATGATCTCAGTTTATGTGTACTTACTCTCTTGCTTTCCTTCTCAATTTCATGTTAGAAACAACAACAATTATACATTTGATGTGACCATGACTGCCTGCATTACATGGCCCTAAGTGAATATATCAATTTACACAGTTTTAATGTAAACAAACTACATATTTCATTATATTTCTTCCTTCTACATATTATTTTACATAGTATCACGCTGTACTTATAAATCTTAATATATCATAAAAATTATATTGAATATATTTACTGAAAATTCTGAATATATTTATTATGATATGCAAATAAAATTGAACAATGTTTAAATAGTGAACTAAAGCATGATTTTTTTCAACTATATGGTATATATATTATATATTAAATTAGCCAATTTATTTTTATATCAGTTGGCTATAGATTGAATGCTATATATATATATATATATATATATATATTACTTATTATATCGACTTATTATCAAGAAAATAATTTTTATTTATTTTTTTGAGTATTGTTATTTATTCAAAATAAAAAATTAAAAACAAAAAATAAAACATATTTTCATTAAATAAAAAAAAAAATAAAATAAAAAAGTTTATTTAAAAAACAATGATTTAAAATTATTTAAAAATATAAGTTTTTTTTATTAAGAGCTTAAAATAAAACTAATTTTTAGTCAAAATTATAATAAATAAAATAAAAAAAATATTTATTATTAAATTACAAATTCTTAACTTCAGTATTTTTATTCTAAACTTATTTTTTAACAAATTTTCGTTAGTATTAAATTATTTCTGAATATTCTATTATTCGTTTTTTGTGAATATATTGTGATGATCTGAAAATTAATTCTTTTTGAAACTATTTAAATAAATATAAATATATATTATTTTATATATATTTTTAATGAAAATATTAAAATACTTATATATTATGGATTTTTGTAATAAATTATATATTAATTGTTTAGATTTTTTTAATATGAAATTATAATTCGTCATATTTTATTCATTGCTAGTTTTAGAAAATGCAAATTCTGTCCTTAAAATGTACTTCATACTTAGTTACTTAAATTCTCACAGTTTTCATAGATTTTATGAATTTTACACCTGAGCTGGCTTAGTTTTTCCGAGTACCATAAGCACCTTTTGTAGGAAATGTGTTAAGCTTACTATAGAAAAGTAAAAGATATGAAAAAAATTATTTATTTATTGTTATTGTGTAATTTTATTCAAATATAATATTAGTAAAATACTAAGATAAAATACATTATCAGGACTAAATCTCCGAAATAAGAACTGGATTTAAATTTTTGTCTCCATTATATAAATTATATACATTTTTTTAAAATACAATTCTTTGAAAACTTCTCTAACTATACTCATGTTAAAAGGAAACCTCTATTGGTTGAACACTCATCTGGAAAATAAGGGTTCAAAAGTTAGGTGATAATGAGTATCTGCACAAGCAAGTTCTTATTGTTTCATTTATCGTACTCATTTATCTTACTGTTACATTCAAGTACTTACTATTTTATATTATTATATATAATCTTAAAGTATTAGTGACTTTGCACATTGAAGTTTATTTGTGTATTTATAAGCTGAATATAGAGGAATGAGACATGTGTGCTATATTGGTTGTTTCTCTTAATTTTTGCGAAAAAACTGTCGGCAATGTTGATATAGTTTGACCATTACTTGACATCGGCATTTATTCACAATATTATTTTTATAACAAAAATTGTTTACTACGAAAATACTACTTGGTACTATTTGATCCAATGTTATCCCATTAAATATATCACAAAACATATGGCAGCATATATGAAATAATTTGAAAAAAAATTTAGTAAAAATAATAACCGTTTTTGGTGTTTGAAATAAGTCTCTAAGAGTCTCTAAATAGGAAGAGATATTTTTCAAAAAGATATGAATAGATTTTTAATACTTAAAAGTAGATGGAATTGGTATAAATTATATTTGGTTTTAAATCTCACTACATAACTGCTTTAGAGGTTGGTTTGCAATTGATATATATAAACCTTTTGTTCAGGAAATATTTTGAAGTTATATAACTTAATTACTAAGAAATAGGTTCTGTGGTCAATTCAAACTTTGCCTTCACACTTGTAGTTCCTTTTTCTATATTTCCATCATGATATAGATTGTGCTATTCTAAGATATCTTGTAATCCTGATAATGCAATAAATATCAAACTAATCTATTTTGTTAGTATTAAACTAAAATTTAACTAAGATTAAACAGAGTGCAACTAATTTTAGTAATTTGAAGTGCAAGAAAAATAATAAAATTTTTATAATTATTAAAAATGCAAGCAAAAAAAAAAAGAATTAATATTTTTATTATGATTTTATAATTAATTATGAGAATGAGTAAAAGTTTTTTATACTATATAAGAATGAATGCATAAATTAAAAAAATTAAATAAAAACCTTTGCAGTAGCTTTTGGTCGAACAACCATCATCATTTTTTGTAGAGCTTGTGTGAAACCACCTAAAAAATATTGCCAAAAATAATTGTATGTGGAAGAAAATTAAAAAATAAATAACTTGAAGTGGTCAAAACCAATATGTGAATTTTTCAGAAAAAGCGAGTTAAATAATATGTGAAGTTTTTTAGACAAGAAAAACGAAGATACACTTATAACTAACACTTACCCATTGATTTCTGGAACCAAATCGGTTTATTTTTCCAAGCAACAAATACTAAATAAACTGGTATGCTTGAAAGTATCATCAGCACACCATAGCCAGTTTCAACTGGACTAGCATACATAGGCACCACCGTAACGAAAACCGTTGCAATCAAGTAAACAATAGGGAATACCAATGGAACACGAATAGGACGTGGCAAATTTGGTTGGGCCCAACGTAACCAAGGCAAACATAGTACAGCTACACCGATACTCAACTGAAAGAAAAGTTATTGATTATAAACATATATTTTTATTGAGAAATAAAATATTGTTTCATTGGAAATAATTTATTTTCCAAGTAATTATTTAGTACGTGTATGTATGTATGAGGTAAAAAATACATCTTTTAATTTATTTGCATAATTTTAGGCATATGAATATGCACTTTAAAGTTTATGTATATAATATCCGTACTCCTTGCCTATACTACTTAATTCTATTCAGTAACTTAAGGCTTGAAATATTATTTCGAATAGAAGAAAGAAGAAGAAGGCTATGATAATATTTCTACAACTTCGCCTACCGAAAATTGTGATGCATTTTTTTAATTGGGTTCCCATACATATGCAATATATAATATTTACCAAATAGTGTTGTATATCTATGTACTACAACCCACTAACATTTTATACGATCACACACGATAGTGTAAAATTGATTAAAAACATTTTCAACAATCAAATTACCGGTTACAACTACCAGGTCCTTGAAATAAAGTAGTAATCTGTTCACTAGATGGCGCTATAATATTATTGTTGTGATTATATGAAGTTGCATGCGAAGAGCTGTGCAGTAATTAACAATTAATTTAAAAATAATACATAAAATTATTTCTTTTCATTTAAAATATATATTACTAATTTGTTTTCAACAGTGCTATTTTTACATATACTCGTATATGTACCTAAAACCCATATATAATAGATCATTATTAGAGGAGAAATTAGATTGATCTTATAATTAGAAATGATGCCTACTAGCGAAGCTAGCAGAAATAGAGTTAATCCGAGATGTGATTTAATAAATATTTAAAAATTAATTTTATATATAATATATATATAATATATATGCTACATAAAATATTTTTTTATCTACATAAATTGATATTTATATATATATTTTAAGATGAAAAATAATTCTACTCACCCAAGTAGCAAAACCAACATAATTTATCAGCGCAAATATATCAGAAACAGTCAAGTACAACATTGAGAGCAATGCCATGGCCAAAACAGCTGGTGTGGGAGTGAAGCGTTGTATTTGTATCATGGTCAAAATTTCGGGCATCTGTCCTTCATTGGCGCCAGCATAAAAGAGACGCGATGAAGTTAATAAAATACCATTGACTGCACCAAATGTGGATAATGCCACAAAGACTGGATAATAGGAGGAAGAATTTATTAAATCATGTTAAATATTTTTGTATATAATTATTTTGTACCTGGAATAGTCCAAGCGAACATGCCGAATGCACGTTCTGCATAGGTTACGGCTACAGCTTGTGAGCCTAAAACTTCATCTGGTGATAAAATAGTATAGAAGGAAACATTTGCCAAGACATAGACGATTGTAACTAAAGTACATGAAATGGCAATGGCGCGGGGTAAGTTCTTAACAGGATCTTTCAATTCTTCAATAATGAAATTCAAATAATTCCTAGAAAAGAATAAATAATTTTAATAAAGTAAATTGATTTGCTATTTTTATAAATCTTATGCTATATAAATTTTCTATGCCACTTTGGCATTTCAGAAATCCTATTAGTGTATCCAATTTACTTCAATGTCAGTTTAGGTTGTCAACTTACCAACCATTGTAAGCAAATAATCCGGAGTAAAATGACAGCGCCAGCGAAGTTACTCTTGTGTCCGTATTTTCAAAAGTGAAATACTGTACATTGCCCGTGTACAACTGGTACATGCCGGAACCAATGATGACGAATAGTGCTAGCAGTTTGGCGTATGTGAAAATATCCTGCACAGCGGTGGCCCATTTAACGTCCCAGCAGTTGACAAAAGTTAAGACCACTGTAAGGAAGTAAATAAGGATAAGGTTGAGAAAAATAATGAAAATAAAAACGATTTCATTAAATATTTATAAGTAAGAAAATTAATTTTAAATTTATTATAAGAAAGCAGTGCATTAAATTGGCAATATTAAATTATCAATTTAAATTGGATAAAAATTGATATAAATAGTTTCTTAAATTTTTTAAAGGGCAATTTTTCACTTGAGATTTTTTGCTTTGGTTGTGACTTGGACTTGGAAGTTTAACTCACCAGCGCGGAACAAAGATAATTTTTTATGAATAAATGCACTCTGATCTTTGAAATTGTGTGCAACCATAAAGTGAACGTGTAAAGTTTTACAGATAATAAAATAGGATCGGATGATGTAATTTACTTATGATTTGCATAATATTGGACTTTCCTCCAAGCATTCATTAAATATAAACAATTCTGTTCAATTAAATCATGCGGAAAGCAATACTTCGCGATGCATACTACGCACAGCATTCCAATCTCTTCTCTGTCTATATTATTAATCAGTTTTGAGTTATATGTGGTTCTGAGCTCTGAGCTCTGGTTTCTGATTTCTGTGATTTCTGAGTTTTGAGTACATGTCTACTTGCACATATTTTTTTTTTTTCACATATATTGTATACTAAATTTTACACTTTCATAATAAATTTTACAGAATGCACAAGTTTATTTACATACAAATATTTAAATAATATTTGATAAGATAGAAAATATTGTCTAAGTTTGTAGATTTGTTTACTGCTGTAGGTCAAGTACAACATTGACAATGAAAACTCATTTGTCAAATCATTCAAGATTTGTTTTTAAATGCTGCAAACTATAACTAAGCGGATGTTTATTTATAATAAAATAAAATATAATTTAATTTAAGAAATTATTTTTTTTTAAATATACTTACAAATACAGCAAACGGCGAGTAAGCGGGCAGCATCTTCTGGTGGTTGGCATTCGGGAAAGAAGGGTTTCAACACATAAACACTGAACGTTAATGCCACTATAGCTTGTGAACAAGGACGTACTATCATGCATTCAATCCATAAACGTATAAAAGCCAAAAATGGTCCAAAAGTTTCCATAATATAAGCGTAATCAGCTCCAGATTTCGTTATCATTGTACCCAGTTCCGCATAGCAGTATGCACCGACCTGTAAATAATAATAAGTTGTTGTAGTGGTTTTAGTAATACTTTCTCAAGTATATATTTTCTTACTATAGATTAATTATTTAATTATTTACATTTCATATTATTTTTTTTACAACACAATAAAATACAACTTAAACCAAAAAGCTTTAAGAAAGCAATTAAATATAGCTATTGCTATATAGCTATATATATAGCTAAGATATTGAAAATGGTTTCAAGTTCAACTAAAATAATTTAAACTTTTTGTAAGTTAAATTCACTTATTAAGGATAAAATTATTCATTGCAAAGTATTTATTTTTTAATATTAAATATTATTTAAATTTTAATTATTTATTAAAATTTTTTATATAATTTAATTTGTAAAATAATAATGATGAAATTAGTATATTGATATGTTTTGATAAAAATATGTACATATTTTGGTTATTATATTTAATAAATAAAATTAAATTAAAAACAATAAATTTATCTTTCAGTAAACTTGATCCAATGTATTACTGATCACGATGGAATTACAACTAACGTGTTAAAAAAAATATAACTTTAACGTAATTTCCATTAAATAATGCCAATTTATGTGTATGTGTGTGTATAAAATGTAGCTAACATAAACTGCCAATGTTATTATGAAAATTAAATTTACTTTACTTCTTCAGCTGCCTAGGAAAAAACACATCCTTCATTAAATAATTCCAATTGTCATTTTTATTTATTTTCATGTCAAACGCATATTAAATTTTATTTTTATTTCTCAATCGTTTCCTTAAAGGAACTCACTCACATTCCTAATGGCTTTAACACTTCTGGGAATAAAACCAGAACTGTTAAGTGACATTTCAGTTTGATGTCGTTCATTGCGAACTCATTTTCTGTGTAAATATTTGTACGTTGTACCCAGTACGCTGTACGTTGTTATGAACTTGTTGAGCTCAGAGACAATAGACAAGAAGTTGGTGCCAATAACAGGCGCAGGCACTGACAGCCGTTGCTTGCCTGTTGCGTTATGCTGAAGAATGTCAGTAATTTCATTAAAATTGGAATTTTTATTGAATATTTGAAGTATTCACTACTCTTTTTTATTTGGAAATAGAAGTAGTATTTTTGCATTTTAATGCATTTTTTTTTATTAAATTATGCCTGGATGTAAGCTAGAAGCAATACCAGAAACAGTTACTATATATGTACATAAAAATGAAGAAAATAAATTAATCGGTTAATGCAGTAAAGTATCTTCTTACATATATTTTTTTATTGAAAATGCCATAAAAAGCTATTTAATTGAAACAAAAATAGCAAGAAAAACAAGAACGGAAACTTAACGTCAAGGATTATTTTGTAAAATAAGTTATACACGAACCTTCATTTTAACTAACAGCTCTAATTGAAATAGTTGGTATTAAATCTTATAATAATATTCAACAATATATAGGTGTTTTAATTAAATGATAATTTAATACAGTAACAGATAAAATAATAAAATGTACAACGAAAACTTGGCACACATTTTTAAATTGGCCAAGATAATTTGAAATCTGAAGAACAATAAACAATAGTTAATTAAATTATAGCTGTAGTTTAAGCGTTTGTTGTAATGGAAAAAAAAATAAAAAATAAGTTACAAGTTAGAACAACACAGTCAAGCACGACTTTCAAGTTTAACCCTTGATACTTACAATCTACAAAAAATATTTATATATCATATATATTTTGATGAAAAAAGGCTATTGGTAGAATATATTATTTTTTTAAGGTATGGAAGAACTAAAAAATTTTTAATAATTTTTAATAATACAATATATATATATATATATATATATAATTCCATAAAGTGGTTCTTCGAAAAGTAGTAAACTACAACAGCAAAAAATTTATTCTATATTATTTTAATTAATTGAATTCTTTCGAGTATTGCCAAATACCCAACATCAGTGGTCTGGGAAATAATTCTTGTATTTAATTATACGTAAAAAATTTTTTGAGACTGCAAGTACCAGCAATCGAACTCGTGCCCAGCCAAATTTGAAGCTCAGAGTCAGCGCACCTTAACCAACTGACTCAAACGGCTTTGACTTTTTATGTTCGCGCATTTTTCTGGAGTTTTGTTACTTTGGTATGAAAGTTTTATTAACAAATTCGCTTGCTGTGTTTATTTTAAAACGAATCATAAACCAGCTGTAGAATAATTTTAAATATTCTAATTAATTCTAATTCTAATTAATTATTTTTTTTTGTTGTTTTAATTGTTAAATTTCAATACTATTCTGTTTGTAGAGGCATTATTTGTTGCATGATTTATATACTCTTTTTTATGTA